GTAAAAAATACGCATTATTCTTCCGAAGCAACCTCTGTATAAATACGCAGCCACGTTCGGTGTTTCGCTGCTTACAAGGAAGCTATGCATTAAGATTTCCCAGTTGTAAAGTTGAAATTATCCGTTTGAAAATTTACAAGTTGGTTGACCGTTAAGTAATATCTGTTTTACCGATGACGATGGATTCTCGCCCTCTTACTTCAAATGTGACAGCATCGAATCAGACTTATCATCGAATTTGTGTTTATAATCATGAGCAGTACGACGGGTGCCACATGTGGAATGGAATCTGCTTGTTGATGTTCAATCTGTAGTTTTCTATGTTGTGTTTTGTGGACTGTTGTTATCTTTTCGTCGTTTTTCGTTTTTTGCCTTGGCTTAGTCAGTTTGTCTTAGACTTGCAAGTTGGAATTTACCATTGCTTATTCTGGTTGTCTTTTGCAGACCCTACAAACTTTATTCATTTTCAATTTTGATCTTGTCCTGTTACTGCGTGAAAATTAGGTACTTTAAGTTAAGGAAACAATAATCAATCTTACAGCAAAACGGTGTCATGAATATTATCTTCGTATCAATTAGCCAAAATTAAAATTTACGTCGATAAACAGTGACATTTTCTTTGTAATTATGTAAAGATATTTCGAGAGCGAATTCGTAAAAATGTCTATTCAATGAATCAGCGAGAAACGAGAACAAAGAAATTCTTCATTTTATTGAATTATTCAACATGGCGATACAGTTGACCTAACAAAACTCGGTTTTATCGGTTGCTTGTCGCCATAGTAACACGGTTTTCAAATCGTATTGAATTCTGTGATTGTCATCATGGAATCTGCCGATCAATCAAATGTGTCATAAAAGTTTTCTTTTGAAAACGTCAATACTGTCAACGTCATGTATTCTTTGCGAGACGTAAACAAGCTCAGTGTACAAGTGTGTTAGAGTTACACGCGCAACATATAAATGTGAATGAGCTACAAGCTCAACTTATAAATGTGATTGAGTTACAAGCTCGTGATATAAGTGTTACTGAATAACAAACCGTCCTGTTAAATGGGAGTTTACGAGCTATCTGGAGTATGTTTTGTTCGTATAGTTTTATGGTCTTTTCTTTTTAGAAGAATCTAATAATAATAATAATAATAATAATAATAATAATAATAATAATAATAACTTTATTTAAAGAGAGTAACTCATTTTGATTAAACCAATTGTCAATAAGGTTCTCTGCATACAATATCAACTACATGAATAAAACATATTCAAACTACTATTACACACATATAAACAATAGATGTATATATACAAAAATATAACAAAAATAATACACCTTTAGTATATATTGTAGTTTAACTTGTAAATTTCACACTGTTAAAAATATAATGACTTGTAAGATTATTTGAATGCAGATACAGTTTTTGATTTTTTAATTTCACTGGATAGTGAATTTCACACTTTTGGACCACTAAAAGAAAAAACTTGATTTGTATAATTCTGTATTTGATTTAGGGACAATAAAATTATCTGATGGTGAAAGTCGAGTATTGTACGATTGTTTACTATTTGTAGGCACAATAAGATTTGATAAATATTTTGGTGCCAGTTCATGTTTTGATTTATACATTAATAATTACTTGTGGTAAAGTATTCTCTTAGTAACAGGAATAATTCTAGAATCCTTAAATTTTTCTATATATGGTTTACGAATATCCTGTTCGTTTAAAATAATTCAAGCTGCCCTTTTTGCAATTTTAGTATACTGTCAATTAAAAACGTGTTACAGTTTCCCCATACTGAACAACAGTAATCCAAATGTGGAAGAATATAAGCATTGTAATAGAATTCATGCATTATGGTTCAAGTATTTCTTGATTCTTTTTAATAACGCTATAATGAAGAATTAACTTTTTCTGATAATATGATTAATTTGATCATGCCAAGACAGAGTTGCGTCCACAAAAATGTGACTTTCATTAATATGTTGGCCATTAATGGATATATTTAATGTGTCATTGCACATGACAGACAGTTTTTGTTTTGAACCTATACACATTGTCTTCGTTTTTGACACATTAACTAACATTTTGTTTTCATCACACTAGTGACAAATATTTTCTAATACAACATTGAGTGCCTGACTTATATACCCTTTGTCTTTTCCAAGAAATGATTCTATCATCAGTAAATAGATCAGTGTTATGATTAGGAATTACATAAAGGCAAATCATTAATAAATATTAAGAATAATATAGGACCTAAAACTGACTCTTGAGGTACACCTGCTTTTAATGTAGATACATTTGAAAAAAGTATTTGAAATGAATACGACCTAATGTCTAGCGGCCAATTACAAAATAGACCAATGAAGTGAATTGTAAGAACATTTTTATTTCTGTAATTTTTGAAGGAGCAGTTTATGATTTAGAAGATCAAAAGCTTTACATAGATCCAAAAAAGTTGCCTCTACTAAATTTCCTTCATCAATGGCTTTTAACCATTTATCTAACAAAGACGTCATAGCAGTTTGACAGGAATGGTTTGTACGAAAGCCTGACTGCATGACATACAACAGATTGTATTTGTTTAGAAAATTCATCAAATGAGTTTTTACGTGTCCTTTTTTAGGATTTTAGATAGTGATGGTAAAATTGCAATAGGTCTTTAGTGAAATACATCATTGTTCGAACCTTTATTTTTAAAAACTGGTATAACTTTAGCCAGTTTGAATAACGATAGGTATACTGATTTTCCGATGCTTTAATTAGAAATGTGACATAATGGAACTGAAATAAGGTGTGATGACATTTTTAAAAACTTTGCACTGATATGATCAAGGCCTGTTGCTTTTGACTCATCAAGTGTAATTTACTGATTGAGTACAAATTCATGGTTAATTGTGGTAGTAAAAAAGACATTTTCTGGTATACGACATGAAAAGTTTTCCAGAACAACTGGTGCTTGAGTTTGAATTAAGATTAATATTTTCAGTTATATTTGTAGAATAGTTATTGAAAGTATCAGCAATGCTCTTTGGGTCTGTAATCGGTTTATTGTAACAGTCATTTAAAATTGCATGGTCATGATAATTTTCACTACCATTGACATTATGCAAGTGTTTCCATAATTTACTACTGTTTCCTTTTTCATGTTCTATTACATCAGTATAGAATTTTTGCTTTGAATTTTCTATGAGGTATTTAACCTTGTATCTCCAGAATTAATAATTATACGTATCTTTTTCCTTCTTATGATAATAATTACGTTGTTTCATGCCCTCCTTAATTTCATCATTTATCCACTCATTTTGATAAACATGTTTAACTCGCTTTTTAATAAGTGGAGCATGATGATTCAACGCTTCAGTAAAAATATGTATAAAACTTAGTAGCGCTTCATCAGGATCATCAATTTCTAGTGTTCTATCAAGGGGACACCGAGATAAATGGCGAATAAAATCTGTCTCGTTGAAATATTTTGTAGATACTTTGATATCACAATATTGTCAATTTAGAATACTTCCATTATTGTATTGTTTGGTATTTTTGTTAGCTTCCTGTTATCATTATGATACTATTAAAACAATTTCCCCCTCTTATAACGGGAAAGAAGGGACATTGTGTTTTAGTTCATGACAGGAAATACTTACACACACTTGTCACAATAACAGTGCCTATTGTTGATATTAAAACAAAGAGTTGGAGGTTACTAATAAAAAGTTTAAAAAACCCTTTTGTTTACAATGCATATAAAATAGATATAAGAAGATAATTTTTTTTCGAACGTATAAAAGAAATCTTGTTTTCAAATATGAATATCAGATTTCTTTATTCTTTCATGTCAATTGATAACAGGTACCTATTGCAGTTAAGAAAATTATTTTCACCATAAGTAAAACAAAACAAATCCAGCATGCCAAGCATAATAGTTATAAGAAAATCCTTCAAATTTGCTATGATTAAGGTTTTCAGGATACCAGTTTAAAATTATTTTTGGAAAGTCTATACAACCATGAAATACGTAAAAAAAATCTATAACGTCTGCTTAGCTCCTATAGCTGTATGTTTACCGATGTCCAAATCTCATTTAATCCATTAAGAAGATACAAATCATGGTAAAAAAAATCTAAGAAAAAACCAAAACTGAGGGAATCGCATAAACTCCAAAAGGAGCGAGACCGGGTGCATTGACAGGACAGAAACCACATTGTCCTGCAATGTATGTATCACCCGCCATGCGAATTCACACTCAGTCAAAATGTCACACTCTGTAATATGGCGGCACACTCAGTGAATTTACAAATCAGTCGACTAATTTGAATCTAACTATATTTGACATATATACGATGGGACAGAGGGTATGTTACTGCTGAGAAGTATGACATTGATAAGTGAAAGTTGAAATCATCATGTTTGTCATAGGTTTTATTTTGAAGTCGTGCATCTGGGTCAATATCAAGGAAAAGGTCAAGCTATGAACCTAGTTTCGGTAGAATCTTTAGTTTTTAGGTTCACTTGGATATAGGAAACGCAAACGTTAATTTTTAGTGTTGACGTCAGATTAAACTCCTTTCTGAGTGTACTATGCTTTCTGAGAGAACAACAGTCTTTAGATATTTCACATGTCTCTATGGACACATGTACACGCCCTATTGCAATTAATCTTAACTCGTGAGTTCATTTACCTCAGCTGAATGAATATATACACATTCACGTCCCAGTGGGAACGTTAACAAAAAGAAGCCAAAATGACTGTTTTCTGAGAAATTTGAATCCTTAGTTTTTTGTAAAAATTAGAAAAGGTTTTTATGAGAAGTTTATCAATAACTATGGTAAATTTCAAAACATTGACTTTTTGAAGGCGAAAGTGACCTCGAAAACATTTAGAACAGTCTAACATTTTTTTTTTATCGACCCATTAACTAAATATTCGATTGTTAAATAAAATTGAAATATACAAAACATAAAATGTATCAAATATCATAAAAATGACAATATGTCGTGATCTCTTTCCCACCATTGTACTTTTTCCAACTCGACAATATGGCCATTTTCCTCTTAATGAAATTAATTGGAATAATATTGGTGCTTTTGAATTTTGGTAAGTGCATATACTAATATTTTTCACTCATATATGATATCTTCTTTTTAGATTTAGGGTTCAACGGGGAAGAAGATATCAAGTGGGTAGTAGAAAATCAAAGAAACCAGACGCCACCATGGTCAAAGAAAACAAAACCCGAACAGGCAAACAAAGTTCACAAAACAATACATACATTTCAAAAAATAAAAAGCAACACGCCACACACAAAAAAAAAAAAACACCTTTGGTGAACTTCGTTACTAAATGGGGGGTTCTTGTGCCACTACTGGCATCCGTCATGTCGCTCATGGTAAGTAAAATCCGATGACGATAAGTCGCATTCAGTATTCAGATATAGTTCATCCTCAAAACTATTGGTGAAACGGTACTTTTCCAAATTTAGTTATTGGATATTAAAAATGAATTTTAGAACTTTTAAGACCACAGAGACATAGACTATATACGATATATATATAAATGAGACCTATGACAATATCGTCTTTCATCAGCTGAAAATTGAATAACAAAACAAGAAGTACATGCAAAACGATAAACAATGACATATAAACAATGCTCGCAGTAACTTAAAAAAAAATCAAACTCAAAGCACGTAAACTGCTGAAATGAAACCACAGCTTCTTATACTTTTGTATCGGATGTACTTTAACTTGAACTGATAATAAAAGCAGTTAATGATATATCAACGACATTCAATAGAAAGATTTCCTTTATAAAAAAAGATTTATCACATGAAGCAAACACATACTGAGTAGATAAACATTTATATCATTGGTGTCATGTTCTTTGAACAGCATCTTCGCTAGCCAAGGGTTAAGATCCAGTGCCCACCTCTCCATCCTTGGCAGATTAAGCCAACATTTGTGATAACAATGTTGCGCCATCTATCGGTTGATAAAAGTCACGCCCATTCCGAATACATTATTCTTGAACAATGGTAGCACTCGAACTCTCCAGTGTGGAGGTGTAAAAACGGTAGCGTCTAGAGTTTACAAACTTCGTGAAGCAGGAACCGAAAATATACGTTGACATTCCAACATTTGCGCAAGAAACATATTTAGGAACATTTATTAGTTGATTAAGAACATTTAAATTGTCACTAAATATCGTCGTATGTTTTGGGGGTAAAGACTTGTTGCACAACCAGCACGTCACAATTGTTTATCTACATTTTCTACAAATTTTACACGTGATCGTGTTAAAGGCCCTTTTTGATTGGATGCAACCAGTTACGACTGCGACCAATGGAAAGTATTACCTCGTGTATCCGAAATTCTCTCTTAATGTGTCGTTCTCTATGAAGGTACAAGTGCATCACTTGCTGGTTTTTGGTCAGTCTTTAGTTTTCTTCTGTTTTGTATACTGTTATTTGTCTTTTGCTCGTTTTTCTATTCTTGCCATGGCATTCCCAGTTTGTTTTCGACTTACGAGTTTGAATATCCCTTTGGTATCTTTCGCCTCTATTTTACTGAGGGGGCGTGCATACAGAAATCAATGATGGACTTAAATAATCTGTATGTACGTGAAAGGGCTTAGGTGCTGTTAAATTCTAGACCAACCAACCGCTTTCATTTGCAATGTACCAAATTAGGAATATGATAGTTCATCCCAAACTGTTGCCTGGGTAATCATTTGAAAAGGTATATCCCCGACACTTGCCAGTGTAAATAAACCTAGAAGTTCAATATATTTTTAGTTTAAACAAATAAACAATAAGATCGAATACAAGTCATAACAATTTATTATACCCCTCTGCATATAATAAAAGTATACAACCTTCGAGATGACAGTAAACAGTCAGTTCCTTTTTAGATATTTAAAATCTAATATTTACATATGATAAATGCAATGTTTTTATACCCTTGATAGAAAGTAGACAACAATCATTAAACATGTAAACCCATTTAAAATATCTTTAAATATTCGACTAAACAGCTGAACGTGTAGGTATGGAGTACATGTAATATAAGTATGACTTCCTCTGATGAAATAGAGTCATAATGTCTACTTCATTTGCTTTTGATGAAATTATAAAAGTGCGATCGTCTATGTATAACCCTATTTATTGTTTGAAAGTAAAGAGACGAAGTTTATAAGAATTACACGACCATTCATATGTGTTTTGTATACATAACTTATCTAGCTTCATTAAGCTGCATTATAATGGTTTAGGGACGACAGTTACCGTTCTTAACGAGTTCTTCAGAGCTCCAAATACATCTTCATTAAAATTAAAAGTGAAACAAATTCCTTTTTTCCAAAAACATAGTCCTAACAGTTATAAGGAAATTTTGATCCTTAGAAATTCAACTTTTGAATCGTTTTAAAAAATGTTCATTTTATCTATTTTATTTGAAAATTCCTTCATCAATTAAGTTAGATTTAGCTAGAACTACATCACGTGTTTTTCTTTTTCTTCTTCAGTTGACCCATGTGTTTCGACACCATGTACATTCGAGAACTCTAATATATGTGGTTATAAGCAGGACCAAAAGGATGATTTTGATTGGACAAGATCAACGGGTGAAACTCCATCGACAGACACGGGACCTGAACACGATCACACAAAGAAATCTGATACAGGTAAAGTTAACTAAACATACATGTGTTAGACATCAACCAAACAACACAAGCACGGCGAAAAAACTTATTTGTCAATACAACCAAGAATGATAGACCTTATTCCCTATATACCTTGCAACGTTTTCACCACGAACTAGTCCAGAATCGGTTAAAATAGTGAAGTTTTATAGATCCATAGTGTACCCCAAGGGTTAACCGGGTTATCCTGGACTTCTCTAGTTCAGACAGTTTTATCCTTGTTATAGTGAGGCGCCCATTCGGCTGTGCGGGATGCACACATGCACGTCCCGCAGGAAAGGGGACCTTTAATCTGGTACCTTGTGATGGATGAGTGACACGCTCTCCGCATGTTGAAGTACCCTTGCAACAATATAAAATAAGAAGATGTGGTTTGATTGCCAAATGAGACAACTCCCCAACAGAGACCATATGACGTAGAGGTTAACTGTAGGTCACCGTATAGCATCCAACCTTGAGGAATCTTATACCGCATACTTATCTATAAAAAAAAACCCGAAATGACAATTGTAAAACAATTCAGACGAGAAAACTAACGGCCGGATTTATGTACAAAATAATCAACGAAAAACAAATATGATATACAACAACAAACAAAAACCACTGACTTACAGGCTCCTGACTTCGGAGAAAGGCACATACAGAATGTGGTGGGATTAAACAATGTTTGATGGCGCCAAACCTTCCCAATAACAAGGGACAGTGGTGTTACAGTACAACTTAGGAACGGAATATAAAAATCAGTTGGAAAGAGTCAACTCATCAGATCGATACAAAGCACAAACAAATCCATAACAAAAACACAAAAGACACCAAGTACAGATCTGAGAGTTCTCGCAGTTACTGAAAGCTAGTTAAAAGCCGATAACAACTAATAAAAAGATAAAAGACTTAAAAATCAAGCAGTACATATTCAACATCCAATGGATTTTAGTGTAAAGACACAGTCAGAGAAAAACATGACATTGTGTAACAAATCTAATAAGTCTGTATGAAGCGTGATGCAACGAAAAATGTCCGCCCCTATCAAACATACCCTTATTTTCCGGTTGGAGTCCCTATTTCCCTCTTGTCATTCCAGTCGTCCCACCTTGCAGAACTGACTCATTGTGTTTGTCAATATATTTTGTCCTGAATATGCATGAAATAATTGACACTGGACGATGTGCAAGCAAAAATCAAGTAATTAATTATGTGAGTCGATGACAGATACTTAGTCTGTGGAGAAATTTTCTTACCTCTTTACAGAAATCAACAAATAATAAAATATTCCACCTTTTAAAGGCGACATTAAACAAACAAACAAACATTTTATTGAATTTTTGTATACATTTTTAAAATTTGTGATTCGTGTTATTCCGATCTGGTGTAACACTACTTCATTCTTTTGGAGAAACTGGTAATTTACAAGATCAACGTAATATGTATGTATGGTTTAATTGGATATTCAGTTATTTTCCAACTTATATTCATTTGTTTCATTTGTTTCATAGAACATCTGAAGATCACTCAATTAAAACACAAAGCAACGATTGTTATTTTATATCCTATAACTTTAAAACAGCTTCACCAGATCATAATGATATACTTTCAGTTCGTTATACGCAATTATCTACAGTATTATTATATACCCTGTATTTTGAAACTGCTCATTTTTCACTAAACATGAATACCTGAAGGTGTAGATCCAAAAATTGCTACTGACGCATGGTATTTATAAAGTGTTGTTTTCCTAATCAATCATCAACTCAACAGCACAATAAAACATTGAAATACATTTTTTAAGGTTATTATATGCACATCGAAGCTTCAAGCCCGCGACTTCAAGGTGATAAAGCCCGACTAGTTTCACTCGAACAATCCTCGTCGTCGGCTAATCGATGTGTAAAATTTTGGTATCACATGTACGGACAAGACACTGGTACTCTCAATGTTTATCTACAAACTAATGGTATCCTTGGAAAACCAGTCTGGAGGAAAACAGGTAAAGCTGTAATTTGTAAAGTAGGGTTTCTCGATTTACGCTTTATGTTTTTTAAGGTTCATGTGGACCCTTTGGCTAAAATGGCTGCATTTTCACCTCAAAATTTACTCTGAGTACAGACAAACCTGCGCATCTGGAAAAGTTTTAAGGCATAGCATGCCCTAGATAAATAAACTTCTAATGCATTGTATGTTTTAGAAAATTTAAAACTTAACTGGATTTAGCAGTGCACTTTTTTTCGTCCCTGCAGAAGATGATAAAATTAACAAACAGTTGAGTTTCACTTGATATGGTCCACTCAGGTACACAGTTTAAATCACCAATTATTGTCAGGTATCTATTGTCCATCTATTGTCCATGTCAATCAAAACAGTTCACTTCAATTATTACCTGTGGGGAAGTTCTCAAACCTCTTTCCCAACTTAGTTTATTTTGGCACCTTCTGGAGGAATGAAAAAAAGTGCACTGCAAAATCCGGTTAAGTTTTTTATTTTCAAAAACATAAAATATATTTGAATTTTATTTATCTAGGGCATGCTATGCCTTAAAACTTTTCCAGATGCACAGGTTTCTCTGTACTCAGAGTAAATTTTGAGGTGAAAATGCAGCCATTTTAGACGAAGGGTCCATATGAACCTTAAATTATAAATTTTCTTCCAGCAAGTTAAAAGTACTCATACACCCTTGACCTACACATGTTTGAGTTTGAGTGATCCCGGCGAAGGTTAATCCAGAAAAGCGCCATGGACGCTCCAAATTAAAGGCATTATTTCCATTTTTAAAACACGAGTTTTCTGAAAACGTTAACTAAAATCAGATATTTTTTACTTGGTTTATATTCATGTTTTGACGAATATTTATGCTAAATATAGTTAGCTTTGTAATGTTTTCAGAAAATCACTGCTTAGAATATAGACGAGCTATTCTTAAGTCGAAATTCTGACTTTAAATATGACAGATATTCTTTGACATTAAGGCTCGTCAATGAAAACATATGTTACCAATATCAGTGTGTACTTGTTTCTGGAATAACCTTCTCCAGAAACTCTCGAGGCAAAATGTTTGGAAGACACAGCAAAGAAACGTTTGTAAGAATAACAGAATGGGCCGAAACAGTACAGGCAAACAAAAAGTGTAAAGATGGCAAATTTATTAAAAAATGCTTAGAGGGAAGAGCTTTACCGATTTTGAATTGATATAGAATTTCATTGTTTTTGGAACATATTTATATGCAGGTAGTTGACGTTGAAACGCTAGATTTCCCCACATACATGATCAATTGTCATGGTGTTAATTTTATTGATCTTCGCATAAACTTACCGCGCCTAAAAGTAAGTGAGAGTTCCGTATGATTTGATTGGGCTTCAAATATATACTTGGCTTTTTCTCTGGAAACAGGTGAACAAGGCAACACTTGGAGGTTGGGAGAATTTGATATTCCTGCCAAGTCTGGTCGTGTTTGGTTAGTGTTTGAAGGGGTTAGGGGTCTTGGTTACCTTGGGGATATTGCATTAGATGATGTCGACATAAAGAAAGGATCATGTTCACCGGGTAGGTACTGATATTCAATTGAATTGACGAAAACAATATGCAAATGTTTAACGTTTTGCTGTAAAAATAAAAACAAAATTACTACAAAATCATGAAAACGATGTAAATAATACCCATCTTACTTAGATTTTACACCAATATTCTTAAAAGTCTTGAAGACAATGTTAACACCATTTGTTTTTAAGAATCGGCAGCGGCGTCATGCAATTTGAAGAAACATAGATACATTTTAAAGCATATAAATAAGAAGATTTGGTATGAGTGCCAATGAGACAACTCTCCATCCAAGTCACAATGTTTAAAAAGTAAACAATTATAGGTCAAAGTATGACCTTCAACACGGAGCCTTGGCTCACACCGAACAGCAAGCTATAAAGGGCCCCAATATGACTAGTGTAAAACAATTCAAACAGGAAAACCAACGGTCTAATCTATATAAAAAACGAGAAACGAGAAACACTTAAGAACCTTACCAAACAACGACAACCACTAAACAACAGGCTCCTGACTTAGGATAGGAGCATAGCGGGTTTAAACGTTTTAACAGACGCCAACCTTCACCCTAACCTGAGATAGTAGTGTAACATTACAACATGAAAAGACACACTATAAAATATCAATTGAAATGGCTTAACTCGATCAAAAAGACATATAAACAAAAACAAGTAAACATACACTGAACGAATAAGTTTGATCTATGACACAATATAAATACAATATTAATAAAAAAAGATGTAGCAACAGTGTCAAAAAGACAACTCTAACCTGGGACAAAATGGCGTTAAATAAAATAACGTACACAGGTAAATTTGAATATAATAATTTTGTTGTTAGGAGTACGGAAACATTTTATTTACAAAATTAATAAATTTGTTGTTCACAGTACGAGTACAGAAGTGAAAATTTATCGGCATACTAAATACTTATCAAAGATGATACATATTAAAAATAGTGAGACGAGATATAACACAAAATAAGTAAACATTTAATTACAAAAATGCATTACATACTTATTTATAGCCGTTTCATCATTTCCCTCTTAAGATTTTTCTATGAGCACTTATATTACATATCTTTCTTGATAATCGATTTTGACGAATCTATCTTTTATATCTTAACACAAAAGCTACAACTTACTAATCTAGCAGTTCCTGCAATCCTGAGTTCATACCTGAAATTTGGTACGGGTCTTCATGTTCAAATTTTGTGTAGTGTTTTGTGGAGGTTTTTTTTTAATGTCTGTTTGCCTTTTTTCTTTTGACACGATATTGCTTGTCTTACATCTAACTGGATTTTGATATTAAACCCCCATTTTTGTTTTCCTGATTTTTCTTAACCGAACCAGATTAATTGAAATGACTTTACAGCTTTTGCATCAATTATAACGTCAAAAATGCATCTGCACAATTTGTGTTCTCTCAATCGCTTTAAGGATATACACTGTGTTTGTTGTCTCCCTTTTCGTATCATTTATTTAGTTTTAGTTTATTATTATTTTCCAATCAACAAACTCAACATAATCATTTGTAAATTGTAGTTATAACTGTTATTGCTCTGCTTCTCAAGGCTTCATAATTAACAAATAAGAAATTGTTTGTTTTGTTTGTTGGTTCATTCGTTCGTTGTGGAAAAGTACCTCAATTCTACATCATCAAGCTTTTATTTTTACAAATGTTTTATTCCATGCTAAGACTTATGAGTTGTTAAATGAGAACATTGAAGTAAAAAAATACCTTTGATTTTTTCGTCATTTGTACTGGAGTAACTTCTTTTGAAAAAAAACCAGGTTCAGTTCATCATCATTCGAGATATGGAAAGATGTAGAAATGGTTTTCAGAAATGCATTTTTTTTGCTCAACTGTTCTAATTTAAAGTGATAGAAATTAAATTCACACTCAAATCGCCGAATCTGTTAATTGTTTTCTCTTGGAAATTCTAATGACAATATGTAACTTTCATTTACAGGAAATAAGAACAAATCTTTGTCATGTGATTTTGAATCTTTCAATATATGTGGATATACAGAGGACAAGACGGATGATTTTGATTGGACAAGAACATCTGGAACAACCCCGTCACCAAGTACAGGACCGGCAAATGACCATACGTTCGGATCCTTTAAAGGTAGACAGCATCGTTGGAGTTATTGTTTTGATATTTCTTTATTAAAGTGTATGATCTCTTTAAAAATCATTTTTTGTGGTCTTTCCACAGGATATTTTTAATTTTCAAAATATTTCATCTTCCCACAATATTGAAAAAGATGGGCTTTTTTCTTGCGAGACATATAGAACATATTTGGCACATTATATCGAACAGTGATAACGGTTTCATCATTGACCCTTTATTACCGAACAGTTATCCCAACGGGAGTTATCTACCCGTTCACTTTTTTCTTGTTATCGCTACTTCTATGAAACTGTTGTAGATATCGATTTGATTTTTTTCCCAAATTATTTTGACCGAAACAATTCTGTGATAGTTTAAAGCAGTCAATTCTCTTTTTGCAGTTAAGATGTAAGTGTTCTGTCGTTGTAACTTATAAACCGTAAGTCATAGAGCTAGAGCTAGTCTTGGTATGAGGTCATTGGTTCATTACCAGAAAATTGAGGTCAAAAGCAGTCACGTTCTTTATTTTCCGTTTGCATTGTTATTGCTATTCACCAGAAACCGTTACAGTTTATGATAAAAGATTTTTGTCAAATTGTTTTTTTATGACATTTCGCATCTTCAATACAATTGGCCGAATTGCTCTGGTGTTTTTTTTATATAGTTTTCTTTCCTAAAATATTTTTAAAAAGCCGTTAAGTACATGTAGTATAACTAAAAAATCGTACATATAAGTGACATAGATATTTTTGTTTAAAACTAAAGAATCATACAACTTGTAGGATTTACTATTTTTCTATCTTTAACAGGACACTATCTTCATATAGAAGCATCTAACCCACGACAGCTCGGCCACACAGCTCGGTTAATATCTCCCAGTATGTCTCGCCCTAGAGATGAAGGCTGTTTGCAGTTTTGGTACCACATGTACGGGTCACACATAGGAACTTTAAATGTTTATGTGAAATCAAATGGAAGGCTAGGAAGGGCTGTTTTGACCAAGAAAGGTTGGTTTATTTTCACGCTTAAATAGCACAGAAAACACAGTTTACAAGTAAAATTTAACGTTACATTCGCAATACTTGTTTGGGCTTTTCTAATGATACTTTTAGGACAGGTGGATTAAGGTTATTATAAGTGGAAAACCCCAGAAATGGGGAATAAAGTAGCGAGCGATAATAATGAATACTAAAATCATGTTGACTTCTTAAAGGGATGAATTACGGATGTGTTGTTTAGAAGTTCTACACAATTAATTAATATTAAAAAAATGCATACTATACTTTAATGCAACGTAATTCGAAGCATTTGATATACAAAATAAGTCATTTTACGGGGAAATATTTAACAAAAAAATCTACAGGTTCAGCTTGGATAGTAGCCATATTCCGGATTTGGAATTATCATTTAAAAAAGGGATGTCGAAGTAGGAATATTTGACATTTTATTTTTATCATGTATTATTGGATAGAAGTCGTGTTTTAATTCATCAATAGTAAACGCCGATTACTTTGACCAGGAAAGGAAACCTTTGAAGGTCTTGATTAAATTATGTATATTGTAATTTACAAATTGTCTAGTATATACTTTTTCTTGTAATGTCAGGATATGACTAAATGGTCCCCTTTCTGTAATAATTAAGATAGTTTATAATAAAGTATGTATAAAGCATGATGTTCTGAAAATTTAAATTATCCTGTATGAAATCGCTTTTAAAAGAATTAAAAAAGCATTTTCTAGTTATTAATTTTGGATTGATAAGACATAAGATTAATGTTAAAATATCTTACAAAACAGAATACTTTTCATTTTAATAACGGTTTACAGGTGACAAAGGTAAAGGATGGATTCGAGGAGAGTTTCCACTTACAAAAATCAGTCAAAATTTCCAGATCGTGTTTGAGGGGATAAGAGGAGCTGGATATCAAGGCGATATTGCAATTGATGACGTAAAACTCATGTCTGATTCCTGTGCACGTAGAAATTCAGGTAAAGCAACTAAACAGATCGAATTGTTTTTGTTATTGTTTTTTATTTAGTAGACAATGCCAGATGTCAGATATTTTTATTAATAATATCGATGCATTCGTATCGCATGTCCCCCGTTTGTCAAGTCTATTTAACTCCACGATTCCAGTCTCTTTGTGATTTACCAATGAGATGTTAAAAGCGCATACAATTACTTCATGTTATAAGCCAGTATATATTACTCAGTACAACATAATCGCAAATTCTCAGTAATTTCTAGACAAAACATAACACTGCTTGAGGAGAAAAAAAATAAGTAAAACAGAAATAACGCAATATAACTATTTATCTTGAATGACTGTTGTTCTGTTTTAAAGTTAATTGTGATTTTGAGAGTTCGGATATCTGTCAATTCGAGCAGGATAGTTCAGATGATTTTGATTGGACACGACAGACAGGAGAAACTTCATCTGTAGACACTGGACCAGAGAACGACCATACATACAAAATGGAGAACAAAGGTACATATTGACCACTCATCTTTCGATGTTTTACTGCGTTCAACAAAATAAAGTAAGGTGTTGATGTTTACTGAAATAGTTCTAAGACATATCAGAATAATTGTTTATCATTAAACATTCACTTATCATGCTTATGTAACTATTTAATGAATGGCTATTATTTATTTTGAATTTATTGAACCATAAAATTAATTTTTGACTCTTCACATTATATTAACATTAACAACGTACACACATGTTGGCGTATGAATACACAACGTCAGAGTGGGCGTGTCGCCATAAAAATTAACAACATTGAAAATAAAGGTAATACTTTTAACCAATCAGAAAACAGTAAATACACCAAATTTATTTATTTAAATATGAAGCAGTGGAACGTTGACCTTATATATCTACTTTAAATTCTTCATAGATTTATATTTCTAATTTTATAACGAAATATTTTACATTGGACCTTCTCCTCTTTTTTTTTAAAGAACATGCTTTATATTTGTTAATGACAATCCTGCGACTCGTTTCACAAAAAATCTTACGATTAAAACTGATCGTAAGTTATATTGAAATGTGAATGACTTACGAGTATTTTTACTCTTAAGATTTTTTGTGAAAAGAGACTCAGCATTGTAACAATTGCACTACCGGACATTAAGTCCTGAGGAAAATTAAAGATGTCAAACCATTTAATAATTGTTGTTTTTTTTATCATAACCCTTTGAATGTTATAGAAATCTGTCGAGTAGAATATTTCGAAGTAAATTAAGTAACAAAACTATATCGAAATACTAATATAAAACTTTATTCTAAATTAGATGTATCCAAGGGTAAAATAGGTTTGAAATGGATTTTTGTTATAATCGCGCTTACACATTGTTATCAATACAATAGAAATCTATGCGACTGTCATACAAGTGAGCGGTTTACTGGCTATAAAATCAGGTTTAATACACCATTTTCTGCATAAGGTAATGCACGAACCAAGTCAGGAATATGACAGTTGTTTTCCATTCGTTTGATGTGTTTAAGCTTTTGATTTTGCCATTTGTTAAGGGAATTTCCGTTTTGAATTTTCCTTGGGAGTATTTTTGTTATTTTACTTTTTAGATATATTTACCACAGCTTTCTGGTACAATTCAATTCAGTGCTCCATTTATAGCGCCTTTTTTGTATAGTTCTCTAAATATTTCATATATTTGCGACTTTATCGTATACAAAGAACAAATTTGGTTCACAGATTCAATATTTGCCATGTACAATTGTCAGAATTCTGCTTTTAAAAGATAAAGAATTTACGATATACATATTAAGTCAATTAAGCTGGTATATTTTACACCGCAACATCAAAACGTAGTCTTTCTAATAATGCCCCATATCGTCAATTTCGATAACAATTTTTCACTTACCGACACTTTGCAAGTTTATCACTTGGATCCGCAAACAATTTCATATTTCATGAACCATTATTTATTTACTGAATTTGCTTTGCAAGGGTTCTTTATGTTTATTGAAACATCAAGCCCACGTGTGACTGGCGATATCGCTCGATTGATGACACCAGAACAGCCATCACCATCATCGGACCTATGTGTACAGTTCTGGTATCATATGTTTGGACAGACGATTAGCAAGCTTAATGTTTACTTGAAGCAAAAGAAAAATCTAGGAAATTCGATATGGTCAAAAGCGGGTATTTTAATGTCTAGAGTTGTTAGATTTTAATATTTACTGACAGGGCCAAAGCCGATGAAAGATGGTAGATCTCAAATATCATTTTCATTTCTAAACTATCCGATTATTTGATAAGAAAAAGAAGAAAAAGATAAATTGTTATCATTGCATGAAACCAATTATTTATCTAAAGTTAGCCTGGCATAATGTTGGTAAACTTCTGCCTGTGGAATAGCCAATCAACTAAATAAAAAACATTTATTTATAAAAGTAGTCATGAATTTTCCTTTTGCTTTTCTGAAAATAAATTCAACACAAACCATTGATTTGTGTCATAATTTCAAACAAAATATACATTTTACAGAATCACTTTGACTTTCGCTAGTCTATTAATTAATTTCTTTACGAATATTACTTTCTTTTTTACTTAGTAAGAACATTTATCCTGTTTTGAATCGTATTCAATCTTCGTTACAAAAAGTGTATTCTCTGTGCAATGTTTATTTCACTTCAGTGGATCATAGACCATTGATTGGTACATATTTTATATAGGTGACCAAGGCAAGAAGTGGTTACTGGGAGAAATTGAAGTCCCTGCGAACTTTGGGAGATTCCATATTGTCTTTGAAGGTGTTGTAGGCTCTGACTATCATGGTGATATTGCAATTGACGATATTCATATGAAGCAAGGAGGTTGCTATTCTGGAAAAAGTGGTAAGCATGTGTCAATTCTCAAATTATTTCAAATAACCCAACACCTTTATACTTCAGAAACAACTAACAGTCCAATAATTTTGGATGTCCTTAATATAATAAAATAGCAACTTTTATTCAATTCGTTCTTTTTTACCATTACAATGTAGGGAAAGAACGTGTCTGTTATGCTCTCCTAACGATAAGTTGTTCAGGTTTGTGATATCAAGTTAATCAATTACATTTAATAACAATGCAAAGAAGGAAAAGACTAAGTGGATCATTGGCAGCAGTAAACCATGTTTCTCCGATAAAAAGTTACAAGATAACGAAAGAGTGCGTAATCATGTGCCATGTGTGCATTTCAAAATTTTATTGATCGGCTATTGAGTTCGAAATTACGTCAAAACAGCCTAGATACAACTAACCTTTAAACTTCAAAGATACTTTTGTAGGATGTTCTGCTGTGTATTTGTTCATCATTTAATTTACATGTAAACTATTGTTATTAACTAAATACAGTGTGATACTATAACAATAGGTAACTGTACATTCGAATCTGGTCTCTGTTCCTGGACAAACGCCCTGGGATCAAATGATGATTTTGATTGGTCGGTTGGAAAGGGAGGCACTCAAAGGAAAGATGCAAGTCCTTTTGTGGATCATACATACCAAAATAAAACTGGTAATTGCTTTTTTTTAGAGTTTCAAAGTGACACTAAACAGGATTTGTGTCACACCTAGACCAAAATAAAAACTACTTATGTTTAAGGTTTCATTACATGCCATATTTAGTAGCAAGTTTCAAAAATTTTCAGCCTAAAATTTAATTGTTATTTTGGAGTGAATGGTGATAAACATGAACTATCCATTAACTCAAGATAAAAAATATTGCAAAAGAAAAAAATTTCCATCCTATCTATCCTTTTTTCTCAAGGAGGAAACCCTAAACACACATACTCTTTTTGATTTCCAGTTGTCAGTTGATACTTCAAGTATGTGCTATTCTTCCCTGTGTAATGCTAGTTGTTTGCTCTCTAAAATTAACTACTATTGGGAGTGTAAACAGATTTAACCAAAGATTCTGGTTAAAGACAAATATGTGTAAATGTCCGAATAATTTGTTTTCATGCATATTTAATCTTGTAAACAAAAAAATGTCTCGCAAGGTTTTTTCCTTTTAACTCGGTCTAACAGATGTGAAGTTGTGCTCTTAACAAAAACCTTGTATGTATAGGAGACAAAATTAGATCTTAAAAATTGTGCAAACAGGATGCAAATCGTGAAATCACGATTTTGAGATGTTGACGATGGTTCATTTGAAATATCTAATTTTGAATTCGGATATTGTTTTGATCTATAATTATGAAATTTTAGAAATCATTGAAAATTAAGGAATGCATCTAATCTATGCATACCTCTTGTTCTCGTTCGTGTTTGGCTTTTTTTTGGACCTTTTTGGTCATGTCAGTTCTGCAACGTTTGTCTTATGTTTTGGATTTGTTTAAATATTTTGACCTCGAGCATTACTGAAGATACATTTATTGTCGAAATGATCATCCGGTGTAGCAAAATTGGTACCTTTAGTATTGTTGCACTTCACTGAAAAAGTTGTGTATGATATTTTAAGTGTAATATGACGTATAACTGTGTGCATAGGATGACAAGTATTTACGCTCGAAACTGAATCTTTTTTAATATCGGTCTTCTTATTTGACCTTCATAATTTATCTTTAAACATTAAGGTTATGGCTAACATCTTACAGCAAGATTAAGACGATTGAATCCCATGATAATAAGTTTTAAACCTTGCATTTATGAATTAGTCTTTTCATTGTAGTCGTTGCAGGTTTTCAGCTAATGGGTAACATAATGTTATTTACTTGCCTACTCCACAATTAAATACAATTTAACACTTTTGCATATAAGAATATGAAGATGTATTATGATTGCCAATGAGACAACTCTCCACAAGAGACCAAATGACACAGAAATTAACAACTATAGGTCACCATACGGCCTTCAACAATGAGTAAACCCCATACCGCATAGTCGGCTATAAAAGTCCTCGAAATGGCAAAAGTAAAACAATTCAAACGAAAAACTAACAGCCTGATTTATGTACAAAATAATGAACGAAAAACAAATATGGTATACAGCAACAAACGACAACCACTGAGTTACAGGCTCCTGACTTGGGACAGGCAAATATATAATTTGGCGGGGTTAAACTAGTAAGTTAGTCTCCTGCTTCTCTAAAATTCTCACGACTAAAGTTGATCTAAGTATACTGAATTGTTCATGACATATGATCAACTTTAGTTGTAAGAATTTTTGTGAAACTGATCACTGAAGATTTGTCGTCTTTCCCGCTGGAGTGCGTCGTCGGTTTTTACCATTGTATAAAGAAGCATTTTTCTGTAGTTACCTTGTTTTGCATAAATTTCATGGTATCTCTCGTAATTGATGCCCTGGTACCGGGCATTATTTGTCCAACTATTATTTCTAGAACCTGATTTCGAATCCATAATCTCAAATATGTATTAATTTACTTCATTAATAGTACACAATTACACTTTTATAAAATAAAAAAATTTAATTGTGGAAAATATTTCAAAAGCATTTAAAAACATGTAAAAATGTTCCATTTTCTTAAATCATGTTAACCCATTAACAATAACAAAAAAGTACAATCTGTACTAAACACTCATCAAAGATAACAGGTTTATAATTTGTTATGCCAGACGCACGTTTCGTCTACATAAGACTCATCAATGAATATCGAATCAAAACAGTTTGAAGGCCAAATCATAAAGGAAGTTGAAGGGCATTAAAAACCGAAAATTCAGAAATGTTGTGCCAATTACGGCTAACGTAATCTATTCCTGGGAAAGAAAAACTTTTTCGGGTAATCAACATTTTATAAACAAGAAAATTACAGAAAATGAAAGGTGAAACAATATCTTCGAAACAAAAAAAATACTTACAAAATTTGATTAACGTTTTGGTCGGAATCATTACAAGTAAATATGTACAGTACACATGAAAACCATACCTATTCCACACAGAAATACGTCGGAACTTTCAACACACTGTTATCTTTATTTCCAATATCACTTATTCTGTATATTAGTAACATCTGTTAAGTACTGTTTCTCTTTTAAATACTTCAAATCGACAGTAAGAGAAAATGTGGAGAAAATATCTTCCGCGGGACCACAATACGTATGAGAGAAATACTTGCACAACTATAAATGAATGTCAGTTCCGAAAACGTGATGACATCTACGGGCAGTGGTGAATCAGTAAACTTATAGGTGACACTTTCTGGAACATTTTTCATCAATTCTTAAAAAAATGTAAATATCTACCACTTGTGTTTGCAGTCTAATGTTGGAGATGTAAATTGATAATCATGAAATAAATTAACAGAAATTATATTTTGTTATTCAGCAGTTTTTAGTCGTAAAGCTAAAACGATTTAATGTATAAACGCTTGTTTTAAGGAAAATATCTATATACCGAATGCTCATCACCCCAGAGTTCAGGGAATGTCGCTAGTATTCGAAGTACAAGACTGGCGCCTACAAATGGAACATGTGTAGGTTTCTGGTACCATATGGATGGAGATCATATTGGTAAACTGTCTGTGTCAGTAGATGTTAAAGGATCTAGATCTCCAGTTATTTGGAAACTCAAGGGACGGCAAGGACATAAGTGGAACCTAGGGCAAATTTCAATAGCCAGTGCTTTACATTACAGAGTAAGTATAAAAGATGAAATAATATAGGTCTACATGTATGTTGCACAATTGACTTTGGATTGCGTGATGTATTATCTACATCGATGTTGTCCGATGGGGTAAAAAAAACTAATCATAGATACCAGGATTAAAAACTGGCACGCCACACGCGCGTGCGTCTACAAAAGACTCATCAGTGTTGCTCGAATCAAAAAAGTTAAAAGGTCAAATAAAGTACGAATTTGAGGACCCAAAATTCCGAAAGGTTTTGCCAAATACAATAAACGTTGCTTAATATATTTTCTATATCTATGGTGGACGACTGAGTGTTAATTGCATACAAGATTATTTGTTTTACAATTGAATCCAATTAAAAGCGAAACGTATATTGGCGTTCTATGGAATACTCTGACAATAAAAGGTTGAGGATCATCCAGACATAAATTCATTTGAATCGCATTTATGTTTTCTACATTGAAAATTCTCTTCAAATAAAGCTGTTTGAAATGGAATTGGACACATTCCAATCGATAGACTTTAACTTGTTGGAAAAGTCTAGCAAGCCTTTTATAGCGAACTATATATGGTATGGGTTTTACTCATCGTTGAAGGCCTTACAGTGACCTATAGTTGTATAAAAAAATACACACTAAATCAAAAGTGACTGAATGCAAGTGGACAAGTAGACAATTTTATTCAACTGTTAAAGAGAGTGTAGAAGAATAAAAAAATCAAAAGTAAGACACAGAGTACTATCAAGATGAAAATAACAAGCAATGTATGTGAAAATTAATTAAAAAAAAGGAAAAACAGAATAAAAAAACAGAACATAGTTTACAAAATTCCTATAATAAAAATGAACGATAATTTTTGTTATAGCTTCTGATTAATGTAACATGCGGTAAAGGACTCAAAGGAGACATAGGTATCGATGACGTCATTGTAGATCACACCCAATCGTGTTCCGTTCTACCAAAGAAAGCAGTAAAAGGTAATCACTGTTTGTTTTCTGTTGTGTAAGAATAATGTGTAAATCACATTTAGGTATTTTAATACCGAGAACATTGCTGAAAGGAATTATAATTTTGTATTTGAATTTCTATTCCAAATAAGAGAGGAGTAACTGCATTCCAAAATAGTCTTTTTGAAATCCTGAAAGCATTTGATATGTATTTGATTGATAAATAGCATCGATTTTTTATTTTACAGTAGAAATATAAACAATAAACAAAGGTTATATTAAAGTCTTGATTCCTCGTAACCAACCTCAAGGAATCCCGTTAAGAAGTTATACAAAAACGGACTTCGTAGAAGAGAAACAAAAATGACGATTGTAAAAACTAGTCAACGATACAAGGCTTATAGTTTGTTACTGCAGACGCACGTTTCGTCTTCATAAAACTCACCAGTTGCGCTCGAATCAAAAAATTGAAATGCCAAACAAAATACGAAGTTGAAGAGCAATTATGTTGAGATAATTTTCAAACTTCATTCGTAGTAACTTGAACTAATTAAGTTTAAAAAGTAAGCACGATATTGTTATATATATAAACTTTTGACAATGTTTAACAATAACTTCAGAATGGCATCTGATATTCCTTGGAAAAAGTGGCAATGGTGACAGTATTTATGACAAGTGGAGAAAACAAACACCATCAATATGTACAATATCTAAAAACTGTTTACCCGAGAACGAGGAGATATCAATATTTAATGTCAAATCAGAACATCACCTGAAGAGTCCTATCATTGATAACTGGGCTACATCAAACATCAAACAGGTATGTTATCACTGTTATTGTTTGCTGTTCTTGTATGTACAAGACAGTATTAGATAACCATATACTATTGGGATGTCCATATATATTTATTTTTAACAAATTATCTAAAAGACATAAATATTATATATATATCTAGATTGATGATACGAGTGATTAAACATGGTATACGGTTTTAACCTAGTCTAAACCGATTTCAATCAAACAATGTTTTCTTTAAAATGTATAGATCTTCCTTTTTACTGAAAAAAATATTCATCCCCAAAACAACATAGCAACTCTGTAAATCTACAATTAATTCGGCTATTTAATCTTAACAGTCCACCAAGGAAAAAAAAAATGGAATGAATAAACGGTTTGCACAAAAATACAGGATGATCGAGAACGTGACATATATTGTATAGACGCTTGTTTGTGGTTTAAGACCTAATGCCGACTTCACTATATCTTTTGATATTATTTGTCGTTTGGTTGTTGTCTAATTGCAGTCAATCCAAAATTCCTTTTATTTACATTGAATGGACATAAAACATAATATTTATAGAAACTGTAATGCGAACTTCAACGGGTAAAGTTGGTCTTGACATTTAAGCACCAGTAGAGGTCGTATTTTTATTATTCTTTTGATGCTTCATTTTACCTATCTTTTGCATACATGAACTTAGGTTTTACATTTGCGTTCCAAGCACATGGAGGAGGTAGATTCTTGAAAGTGCTAAGACCATAGCAAATTAAGTATCCTGTCTCAGTTGCATTTACATTTGGCGATGCCACAGCTTATTGATAATAACATTTATGGTACAATTTTGCTGCACAATATGCACATTTCGACAGTAAATGTCTCTTTTTATTGATGCTGGAGGCCAAAATATTTGAAAATCCAAAACCTAATACAAACGTTGAAGATCCTGTGCTATCGCGAATAAAATTCGTGACGGTCATAAGTTAGCATAATAGATTTGATATACGTACGTTTGATTAGCTCTCAGTTTTAATAACAATGATACAAATATGCAATGCGGATAAATACATTTCTGAGAAATCATTTCAATGTTTTGTTTGATTTGTTTTTGTTCAACAAATGACTTATATTTTCTCTTTCTTTGTCCTAGTTTTACCAATGTGTGACTCATTCCTTTACTTTCTACTATACTAATGATGTGTATAGATTGCTGTCTCCGTATATGTGTATTATATATGTAAGGAAATGACTAAATATAAGTATTGGTAGCTTGTGTTCAATACTATTTCTTAATTATTGTAATGAAATATTATTAAATGCAACAGATAACTTTATTTGTCTTTATCAAATCATCATGATAAATTGACGCAACTCTACAACATTTATAATATACTGATCGTTGTAATTTATTTTTGCGTGCCACTTTTCTGACTACCAAATTTCATAAATATGAAAACTGTTTTAAAATTAGCATCACAGTTAAGATGTGTGTCTTCACTTGTCATGTATTGGTTCAGGTTATCTAGAAAAGAAAATGATTACTAAATGCCATTTCCGTAATCCCTACTCATGTTTACGCTAATGCTAATACTTCCGTTCCCCATGTAGGTGTAAACTTCCGTTCCCTGTGTAAGTGTAACACTACCAAATAATCCGGTTTCATGCGAAAGGGGTCGAAACATAATATTCTCTGGAAATTAACCCTATATTTCATTGCAGAAAAAAATTTGATTCACAAACACATATTTTTGGTGTTTCAAAACAACATTATTTTTTTATTTGGTGTTTCTATAAAATATTTAGGATTTTAGGTGTCATTGTAACTAAAGCTTGTAAATGGAAAAAGGGATGAAAATTTGATTGGTGTACTTCCGGTAACGGTTATTACCAATGAAATGTCATGTGAAACTTTCACAGTAGTACTGGACAGGCTAAAACTTTACTCAGGCCAATTATTTCTTTATTTGAAACAAAGATAAATTCTGCACAATGATTTGAAAAATGCAAGTTTAACAAAGTCTAATTGGGGAAAACAATGGTGGAATTACCCCTCAACGCACATGTCAGTTTAGATAACAGCACACAAACAATGCACCCAAATGACATAAAAATGGTCTAAAAACAAACCAAACATTTTAAACAATGCATACCACGTTATTAAACGAAAATGAAATTAGGGTTAAAAGGTAAAACTAAGTTCATGACCAATGAAATAAAGCAAGCCTTCTGATGACCACTTTTGACTTATTTCTTTTCTCATTAGTAATACTCAAATGTATTCTGTCAAATGGGAAATGTGAACCTTGATTATTATCCAATTAGCATGCACACGATTTCAAGGATGTCTTTAAGTATATGTTATTCATATAATAGTATTCATTTCCGTAAAGGATGCCATGAAAAAAAAGTCTAGATCCGTCCAGATGTATAATAAAACTAAATTAGATGAGATGCATTAAGGCCTGAAGTGGAAGTAGAAACTGCATACAAAGACAACAATAAAAACCATAAAATTTCGGAAATCGATTTGACATTTTATTCATAGTTAAGTTTTTTTCGTCTACTGTAAAAAGTTAAATTACAAAAATACCGAACTCCAAAGAAAATTCAAAACGGAATGTTCCTTTACAAATGGCATAATTAAAAACTCAAACACAGTAAACGAATGGAAAACAACTGTCATATTCTTGACTTGGTACAGGCATTTCCTTATGTTGAACATGGTGGATTAAACCTAGATTTAATTTCATTACCGATGTTAAGATTGATTACATATTGTAGCACGTTCTATGCTTTAGGAAACGTGGCATTGCAACATTGTTAAATAAAAATCTCAAAACGCTATAAACGTTTATGAACAAGTTAAGGTTAGTAAAATGAAATTTTCAAGTATCCTACTTGTTTTAGATGTTTACCTTCGTTTGACACATACAATCTCATTTTATGAAACCTGATCAAACAATCTGGTCTTGATTATGATATTGCACATACATTAAAAACAAATTTCGTAGTTCAAATACTGTGAAAACAGAAAATATTCTTCCCTTTTCCCAAACTTCTACGAAAAATATAGTTAAATTCACAGAGAAAATGGGATAAAATGAACGGAATATATTTAATTTAATATAATATTGCAGATTAAATTAGAGCTATACAAGAAGAAGGTATTAGTCATGTCTATGATCTTTGACGGAACCAATACAAATAACATAAACTGGTTCTCTTCTAAAAACTTGATTAACAGCAGTTTCGATGATTTGTATGGGGATGGTTGCTTTTTCAAATACCAACTGAATTCGTAAGTCATTTCTTCAATTTTTTTAACTTTGTTTACGCTTGTTACAATGACTAGAAAATCCTAAGCTCATAAACTTAAGAAATCAAAGGAAATTACAATATCTTGATGAAAAATCAGAGCTTTGTACAAAGCGGCATAAATTAAAAATTAGATGTATGTAAATATCTCGCAGGCATCCTCAAAATGTATATGGAATATAGGAATTAAATCACTACTTGCAAAAGCTACTATACTTTCAGTTTTTCATGATGATATTTTCAGAAAGAATGTATTCTAGTAGTTCCGATGTAATAACAAAAGCCATTATTTTGCGATTAAGAGATAATACCCTTTTTATTACCTAGACAGTGGTCAGTTTCCTGGTTAATCTTCTAGAATCATAAGGAAACAAAATAAATGTAATGAATTTAGCATTGAAATATTGAGTAAACTTGATCTTACAGTAAAGCCAGTTGAAAGTCTTGTACCAAAATCAGTTATATCGCATTGTTATTTTATCTTATTAAAAATATTCACAGTTTGTGCTATGAACATCTACATATACAGTTTTTGTATTATGAATCCAATTTTATTGACTTTTTTAAACCGAAGATGGTATGCTTATTCATTCATGACATTCCAAGATGGTCACCCATGTGATTCCTATGCCAAAGGGTGGTTTGCTGTCATTGATAAAGAATACAGTTCGTCCTCATCTTATCCTAGCACTTGTTTACATATGAAGCAACAACAGTATCCGGTGTTTGCATATGCTGAATATAACCACAAAACAAGGTGGTTTGACAAAAGTAAGCAATTTGGAGAAAATGTATCCTTCCTGAATGTCCATTAACATTAACGTGTAAAAACACAAATTGAGAAACAGATAAGTGATCGAATATCGATTTTTTCTAGAAAAATCTGGCTTTTGTACATTATTGAAAGCTTGTCTGTTTTGTTATAGTAAGATTTGACTTTTAATCGTTACGACTAACTGTAGCCATTCATTTTTCGACGGCCAATAATCACTTAAAAATGGAACAAGTATTTAAGTTACTTGGTCATCAAAGTACATAAAACAGAAAGATGAAAGAGGAAAGCAAATACCTTCTTCATAAACATCATATTAAATAATTTAAATCTCAAAAAGTGTCGATGCCCTTTTTTATCCTGACAACTTTTATTTCTTTGAATTTTAATTGTGTTTGAATAAATGAAATAACTTCAACGATATATTTTGCGAATTCTAAAACTGTACATTGTTATTACATCATGTTGAATTGGAAAAATTCATTTTTTTCAGGTTATGGTTTGGCAGATACCTTGGTTATTATGGTTAAGCGAACATAATGTTCACCAACGGAATACAATAAGCAAACAAAATGACCTGTCGCATTGGATTTTATATATCTTAATTTTGACTGACAAGGACATTTCAAAGATATATCATGGACTTTTAGTCAATTCGAGTTAACGAATGACATTATTTTTATTAATTGCAATACTCCACAGCATTTGACGAATACACTCTTAAGTGAACAAAAATGAGGGGGAGAAATCCTTTAATAACTTGAAAGGTGTTTTTGAAACACTATTTTGTATAGTATTTTATTACATAAGACCATAATTTGTTTTACAATCTACTGTTATTTTCACGATAAAGATTAAATTATTATAATGCTACCACACTATAAAAATGGTGATGTGGTATGCATGAGACAGATATATACAAGATTTGTCACACTGTTTATTACTATAAGACACACTGCTAAAGAATGTAGATTATTTCACAATCCACGCTGATAATGATACTTATATGAGATTTTCTAAGCAATTTAGAGTGCGAAGTAACATGACGGGATTTGTTATTTATTATAAAACGAAATGACATTTCATAGATTTCGTGAGTCCAAAGTGCCTTACTGTGTAGTTATTTTTTTTGGTAAATCCTTTTGGCGTAGCTCGGTATTAATAAACCCCGCCATTGTGTTATTATTCATTGTTCATTTTTTGTATTCTTGTCTTTCATTTTTGCTTATGTGCTTTTTCTAAATAGTGTCTATATGCCATTTTGTTTTTCTTTAAAATTGAAAATGGAAATGGGGAATGTGTCAAAGAGACAACAACCCGACCAAAGAGCAGAAAACAGCCCAAGGCCACCAATGGGTCTCCAAAACAGCGAGAAAATCCCGAGGCGGGCTTCAGCTGGCCCTTCAACAAAAATATGTACTAGTTAAGTGAAAATGGAAGTCACACTAAACTCCGAAACATATATTAAATGAACTAAAATTAAAAAAAAACATACAAGACTAACAAAGACCAGAGGCTCCTGACTTGGGACAGGCGCAAAAATGCTGCGGGTTTAAACATGTTATGTGAGATCTCAACCCTCCACCTATACCTCTAGCCAATGTAGAGTTAACAGCAATACGCACAACAAAACTCAGTTTAAAAGAAGTCAGAGTCCGATGTCAGAATAGGTAACAGAAGAAACTAAGCAAAATGACAATGATACATAAATTAACAAAGGACTATTAGCAGTTACTGACATGCCAGCTCCAGACCTCAATTAAACTGATTGAAAGATTATGTCTTTATCATATGAAAATCAAGCACAATCCCTCCCGTAAGGGGTTTAGTATCATACCATCATAAAATATATGAGAAGAACATAACCCGTATCATGCCAACAACTGGTTTTAGAATAAATGTGTTTATTTCCGATGCAAAGACCCTATTTGTGAATCAAAATTAATTCCAAAATATGCCATCTTTAATGACCTGACAACAGTATCGTAACTATATTTGTTGACATCGTTGTTTTTATAGTGATTAAGATTATAACACAATGTTAGCGGCTGTACCCTAATTTTGGAAATTTTACCTATTATGTCTGCTGGTTTTGCTCACACATTGTTGTCAATATAATGGAATTTCATGCGACTGTCATAGAAGTGAGAGGTTTAGCTAGCTATAAAACCATGTTTAATACACCAGGTTCTACATAATGAAATGCCTGTACAAAGTCAAGAATATATCAGTTGTTTTCCATTTGTTTGCTTTGTTTGAGCTTTTGATTTTGCCATTTGATAAAGGGACTTTCCGTTTTGCATTTTCCTTGGAGTTCGGTATTTTTGTTCTTTTACTTCTTTCTGGAATTGCCTTCAATAAATACGCTCAATTCCAAATGTTAGAAAGTCAGTGATGTATGCATACTTGACGAGTTATACGAACAAAAAAAAAGACATAAAATGATAAGTCAAAGCTGTCTTAGGTCAACTTTGCCTGAAGGACTCGGAACCTTAGTTTTTGATTATTTGTTAGTATATCAACGGAAAATTTAAGAAAGGTATGTTATAAATGATATTAGTGTCTCTGACTACAGGGTAGAGAATATATTATACATTTTTATAGAACTAAACACAATTTGTACTCACTTCTATATGATATTCTTTTATGAACCTGTTTGTTACTATTCTCAATTTTATACTGGTCGAGATTGAATTGGGAGGATTGACCTCTGAAAATTACTAGACATCATACCAGGACGAGCATTTCCCTTTCTAGCTACTATCTACCAAATTGGGGGACCCGGTATGAAGTTACAAAAATATGATTTCAAGTTGCATTCTTGGATTTATTTAAACAACATGAGTGAAGAATCTATATATGTTATAGATATACACTGAAAATCACAATGCAGTCAACCAGAAATCAATCAAAATAAGTTATGTTCGAGTATGTAAAGAGCTTATGAGGACATTTAACAATTGACCTTTGGTTTGGATCAAGTCCTTAAACCAAAATCTAGGAAATATATTGAAGAAATTTAGAAGATACAACAATACCAAGCTACATGTTAGTAATGCAAGCTTATAAAAGTATTTCAATCCTGATAAACAATTTGCGTTTACGATAAACATGCTAAAAGTAATTGAGATGTACTTGAATAACTGAATTACATGTATAAATTTCAAACATCTTTCGCGGCTAGTGAAATAGACATGTGTGTAAATATAAGACACGGGATGGACAATGTCGACTGGAAAAAAAAAATTTCGGGATGTAACCTGCCATGAATCACAAAGATTTTGTTGTACCTGTAGAGACAAATAACAGGATATTACATTCTTATTTTTTAAGCTGTTTATAAAGTCCTTAAAAAAAAGTAAATGCGATAACTGTAAACTTATTGATCATTTGAATAAAAAGAAAAAGATCATACCAAGGAGGCATTCGTTTGTCAAATAAAAACAAACCATAAACAAGGAGAACATTAAGAAAATATTGACAACAATAACAAAATACTACAGAGAAAAAAAAATTATCAACACAAACCCCACCAAAAACCTTATCCACTAGTGGCAACCGTCATGTTACTCATTGAAAATTAACATTAAATAAACTAAACTTGGATGGAGAGTTGTCTCATTGGCACTCATACCACATCTTCCTATATTTATTAATCTTAAATTTCATCACTGTAGTAAGAAGGAAAAAAGAGTCAACATTAGCAAAAGACATTTAAAACCCAAACATCGAGAGAAATTAACAAGCGTCTTTTCAAAAATAGAATGCCTGTGAAAAGAAAAACAAGTTTACAAAACACCCCAGAAAATACGAGCTTGACGAAAAAATAGGGGTGATCTCAGGTGATCTGGAAGTAAAGGCAGATCCAGCACCTCTAGCAGCACCTTTCGTGTTATTCGTGGTAGGTAAAAATTCGTTGATGAGTCTCATTCGGTGATGTCACGATCAGGAAAAGGAAACGGGATTGTGGTTACGATAATTTGATGAACATATCCGTGGTAATCTTTTCACCCAACCATTTTTATGCCCCCGCCGTAGACAATGGGGGCATTAGGTGTTACCCTTGATCGTCATCCGTCTTTCCGTCCTCAAATTTTATGAAACTCGTACACAATGCTTAGAAATACAACACGCAGACAGAGTTTAAATTTTGCAGTATGTCATTAGCCGTTCTAGAGTTATGCCCCTTTATAAATAGGAAAATTGCAAATTTTTTGGTTTTTGAACTCTTATTTAAGTTTGTGTCATCCACATTTTATGAAACTCATACACAATGCCGAGAACCACAACACGAAGACAGAGTCCGAATTTTGACAATGAGTCATTTACCGTTCTAGAGTTAGGCACCTTTTAACTTGGAAAATTGCAAAGCCTGAAAGGGGGCATTCGTGTCCTCAGACACATTCTTCTTTTATATTTATTTTGTGTCTGTGAAATAACAAACGATACATAGATGAGTTTACATTAAAATTAGAAAAAGCAAATTACTCTATTATAATCACTAGTAAAATAGACATGGCACCAAGTAAAACCTTTCAAAATACCGTGTCATAGAATCTGAATTAAGCAAGCGTTAAGTACTTTACTCTCTGCTTTACAATTTAGGAATGTTTACACTCTAATATCAACGACTGTACTTCGGAGTAGATTTCAGTTATCAACATTATTAACAGTGAAGCAAAAACTACCTAATGCATATGCAAAGTAAAACGAAAAACGAAAAACAAAATATTCTTGTAAAAACAAATAAGTGAAGTAATCTTCTTATCCCCCAAAATCAAGACGTAATGTTTCACCAAAAAACACAAACAAAGCATAAAAAGCCTTTATCAAGAAGGCTTAAAGCCAGAAAGAGAGATTTTCAAGACAAAACGTTGGCTTAGTTGTTGATCGCTCAGCCTCCTCTAACTTAGCTTAAATATGGGTGGAACAGTACAACATGAGAACAAATTATAAAATCCGTTTGCAAGGTCTTGACTCATCAAGTCAGGAAAAACAACTAACAAAAAAAAAGAGACAAAGTACATATCTAAGAGTACTTGCAGTTACTGAAAGTTAGATCAAAACTAATTTCAACAAACAAATAAATCATGTTTTCACAGACTTGAATATTAATCTAGAAATTGACAATGATGGTGGGCTGAGAACAAAACTTAACGAAACAAGGGATTATTTCAGCTTTCCAATTGTGAACTTTCAATTTCTATGTACCAGCATTCAAGAGCTTGCGTTTCCTATCATAATTACATTAACAGAGGGTTGCTGCTTACAAAAAAGCCATCGAACCAAGAGTTTCAAGGCATAAAGACGAAGTCATCCCTTCGCAGACTTATCGGACGTCATCAAAAGTTGGAGACCGTTATGGAATACCAGTGTCACAGATAATTTCGTTAACATTTCCTTGTGAACATGTGTCTAGTCAATGCTTTATTTGACAGTCGTTAAATAGTTTCTGGAAATATGAACAGCTGGTTAGCATCGGGCCGATTTAGCGCTTGAAATATTGTAGAAACACTTAATATTTGTTTTTTTGTATTACAGGCTTCCTTCATCATTATCAACTGACCACCAGGATATATCCAATAAAGCTAAAAGTGGCATTAAACACCAACAATCAATTAATCTTTCATAGGTTAATAAAGTAGACCTAACATGTAATCTGATTCATATTTATCAAAGGATCATCACGCCTGGTAAACCATCAAATCTCAACCAATTGGTTAAGCGAGAAAAAAGTTTACTGGCACTTCACGTTGAGCTTTTCTGGTACAACATATAAACAAAATAGATAGGGTAAGTCGACTTTTCATCAATTTATTGTCAATCTGTAAATATGTTGTTAAATAAGAGAATGTCATGACATAGATAAGTAAATGAGAGCTTGCATCGCTCATTACTCGGTCCAATGTCATTTCAAATGACATCGGAATGACTTCTCTCTCGCAGGTAAGTGCGGCTAGCTCAGTGATATTTTGACAAAATGACAGTGAGTTCTTCAATACGTTACTTATATATCAGTATATAACTTATAATAATTTTTTTTTCTATTTCCTACGAATTTTTTTTTTCTATTTCCTACGAATTTTTTTCTTCTATTTCCTACGAATTTAGTTTTATTAAGCTGAATTTGATATAAAGAATGTGAGGTTGAGATTGTCTGGTATCAGTTGTGATATTCTGGAACAATGTTGAGATCTACTGTCGAATGAAATTTTCAACTACATGTAGCTACTTATCAACTGTATACAACTGATCAAAA